GAAAAAATCAAAATAAATTCAAGGTAGTTTTGAAAGGGAGGGCGGTAGCAGATGGGGAGATCAGGAAAAGGTTTCTTGCAGAAGGTAGAGCTCCCCTGGGAAACACAGAAGCCATATAAGCTTCTAGCTCCCTGTCCTCTGGGAGGCATAGGCAGTGAGCACCAGGGAAGACAACAGGGAAAAATATTAGATCACTATAGTCAAGTCATTGCAAGCCTCTGAAAAGCTAACCTTTCTTCCTCCTTTCCAGTTTCTCATAGGTTATACCAGTAAGGCTGTGCCAGCCAGACAAAAGGGCTTGCCCCGAAGGCAGGGCAGGGTGGCTCTAAAATATTTTCCTGATTCTGTGTAGCTCCTGATGCCCAATTCTGGAACTGTCTCAGTGAAGCCATTTTTTCTTTATTTTTTTTATGGCATTTTTCCCCACTTACACGTCCAGACAATTTTTAGTATTCATTTTTTATATGCATATAATCATGTTAAATATATTTCCACATTAGTCATGTTGTAAAAAAAGATTCAGAACAAAAGAGAAAAACCACAAAAAAGAAAAAAGAAAAAAGAGAGAAAATAGTATGCTTCCATCTGTATTCAGACTCCATAGTTCTTTCTCTGAATATGGATAGCATTTTCCATCATGAGTCTTTTGGAATTGTCTTAAGTCATTGTATTGCTGAGAAGAGCTAAGTCTATCAAAGTTGATCATTGTACAGTTGCTGTTACTGTACACAATGTTCTCTTGGTTCTCCTCACTTTATTTAGCATCAGTTCATCTAAATCTTTCCATGTTTTTCTGAAGTCTGCCTGCTCATCATTTCTTATAGCACAAGAGTATTCCATTACATTCATATACCACAACTTGTTTATCCATTCCCCAATTGATGGGCATCCCCTCAATTTCCAATTCTTTGCCACTACAGAAAGAGCTGCTATAAATATTTTTGTACATGTCAGTCCTTTTCCCATTTGTATGATTTCTTTGGGATATAGTTCTAGAAGTGCTATTGCTGGGTCAAAGAGTATGCACTGTTTTATAGCCCTTTGGGCATCATTCCAAATTGCTTTGTAGAATGGTTGGATCAGTTCACAACTCCACCAACCATGCATTAGTGTTCCAATTTTCCCACATCTCCAACATTTATCATTTTCCGTTTTGTCATGCTAGCCAATCTGATAGGTGTGAAATGGTACCTCAGAGTTGTTTTGATTTGCATTTCTCTAATCAATAGTGATTTAGAGCATTTTTATATGACTATAGATAGCTTTACTTTCTTCATCTGAAAACTGCCTGTTAGTATCCTTTGACTATTTATCAATTGGGTAATGACTTGTAGTCTTATAAATTTGACTCAGTTCTCTATCCATTTTAGAAACACTGCATTAAGGGCTTCTTACCTCCTAAACTCCTTAGACTCTTAATTCTCTCAGAATAACACCTAAGGGTACAATTTTAGGAACTTAAAAGGATTTTAAAAAAGAAATCAGAAGGGGAAAAATGTCACTCAACTGGAACAGGAAATTACTTCTCTGGTATTTCCTTTTCCTACTCTAGGCTGCTCACTTTCTTGCTCCCAGTTTATCTGGGCTAATAGGAACCTGAAGTGATTTAGCCAGAGCTGGTTAATCAGCAACACACAGGCTGTTGTTATCTCCGGTGCCTGATTCTCAAATCCTAACTGATTAGTTTGGGGTTTAGGTCAGAGTACAGGCCAGGATGTGTTATAGGAAAGCAAAGTTCAAATATCTTACAATTGAGACAGGATAATTGTTAGCTCCCCATTTTATAGGTGAAAATACTAAGACCCAGAAAGAGATAAAGTGACTTGCCCAGTGTTACAGACTTAGTTATTAGCAGAGTTGGGCATATGATCTGTTGATGGTGGCAGAATTGGGACTAGAACCTAGGTCTCCTAATTCCTAGTTTAGTGTTCCTTTTCTTGGACCTGGAGTCAGGAAGACCTGAGTTCAAACCTGGCCTCAAGACACAGTTGAAAATTGGGCTAACTCAGTGATCCATTGTTCGCAGACCTGCTTGTCAATCAGCGTTGGGGGAGGAGTCACCCGGTCTGCAGATTTGTATTACCTGCTCTTTGTCACGGACCAAATCACCCCCTCCCGCAGCCCACCCCTCACTCCCCCGCTTTGTACCTAATAACAGTCATGCATAGGCAATTTGGGAGAAACTGAGATGCCATCCCCTTTTGCTGAACTGAACTTATCCTAATTGTCTTTATCTGGTTACAAAAATTATCAATAAAAGCTGGCTACATTTTGAATCCCTTGCTGGTCTCCAGTGATCAGCCCATCAATGTAAATACCTTGACATACTTTTAATTCTCTTTGTCCTGAGTTTTGCCTCCTTAATCAGGGCAAAATCAAGAATAAAGAAATTTCTTTTCAACAACACCAGCTACATGACTCTGGGAAAATCACTTTACCTCTGTTTGCCTCAGTTTCCTCATAACAAAAGCACCTACTTTGCCAGGTTATTGTAATGATCAAATGAGATAATAATTGCAAAATATTTACCACAATGCCTGGCACATAGTAAAATTATGTAAAAGTAGCTATTATTATTATTACTATTATTAATTATTCACTATGCCATACTGCAAGTCGGCTCTTTCAAACTTCAATTGAAGTATTGTAAGTTCTGCTTTTGATTCAAGTTTGATTCAATTGCTGGTTGCTGCCTTCATTAAATGCTATTAACACATTAAAATGGGTAAAGTCTACTGGAGTAGGGGGATGAACTATATTTGGGTTAAGGCTGATTTTCTTTTAATTTCCATTGATGCATTAAAAACTCTTGGTAAGAAAAGCAACTAACTTCCTTACACTGAGAATCCATTAGAGTAATATGAATATTAGTGCTAGAAGGAATCTGAGGTTAGGAACAGAAATGTCAGCATATACATGTAATAGTATCAAAAATAGCTATGTTATATCACTTTAAGTTTTGCAGAGTGCTTTACATATGTTATTTCATTCAATCTCATTTGATCCTTAATTAGCTGCTTCTTTCAAATCTCTAGTTTGATTGCTACCAGCCTTTTCTGTCCCTTCTGTGACCTGGGGATGAAGAATGACAAAGGAAGAGCACTAACAATGACGACAAAAGACAGTAGCTTGAAGTCTGTGCTCCCACACTGTAGTCCTAAACTAGTCATTTATACCCCCTCTGAATCTGTTTCTTCATCTGTAAAATACCTACCCTATAATAGGGTCTTAAGAGCCTTTAAAAGTGCTATAAATATTGCCATTATCCATCCTCTTATTTTTCTTCATGGTCTTTATAGTTGTATCACTTTTTCTGGCTCCTGCAAGTCTGGATCTCAGATCTCAGATCTGCCCCAACTCTCCCTTTCCCAAACTTCCCAGAAATGTCATTCTTCAGTGTAGAGACAATGGTCTCTGAATTTTTTTTCTTTGGTAGTCTTCCTTCCAAAGTTTAATTCAAAGTTCTGCAATCTAGGCTGGTACAGCTGGAATTCTTAACCTGGGATCCAGATAGATTTCATGGGGTATGTGAAGTTGGATAGGGGAATAAATTAAATCTTTATTTTCACTAGCCTCTAACTGAAATTCAGCATTTTCTTGAACTATTTAAAAGTCCATAGGCTTCACCAGATTGTTAAAGGGGTCCATGACACCAAAAAAGGTTAAGAACCCCTGTGCTACCAGGACAAAGGTATTATATAGGATCCAATAAGATGGGGAGCTAGCAGATCTTCCAGTTCTCCCCACACCCCCCTTCTTTCCTCCTCCACACTAGTATAATCCTTTTCATTTATAATCTCCACTCCCATGCAAATTAGCAACTCCACTCTCCTCCTGCTACCCCCCACCTCCCTATAGCAAAGAATGAATATTCTCTAGGTTCTAGGATTGAGATCTCACTTTCTTGCATAGGTACAGACAAACGAGTTTTGGATTATGGAGAGGGGATCAAATACTGAGATTACTGAAGTTGTCATAAGAGTGAAAATATCAGTTATCAACTCTGGGCTTCAAGTTTCCTTCTTACATCTGAGAACGACCCTCAGGGTGATGATATTCAGTAATCCCGAAAAATCTACCCACTGGAACTCAGTCCATGTCTATACATGAATCACACGTGGGTCTCAGATACCCATCTATCTGCCTGCTTAGTCATTGTCCACCACCACCACCTCCTTCCGTCACATCCTGTCCCCCAGCACAGGGCTCCAAGTTGCAGAGGAGAGAATTCTTGTCTGGGATATGAGAAGAGTGATGGCGAAGGCGGGAATGGAGGAAAGTCCACACAATCAGATTCCGAGTCCCAGATTAAAAAGGGGGAGAGAGATGGATGTTGGAGAAAGAAAAGAATTGAGATGTAAAACTATGCCCTTTATGAACTGCTCAGTGGGGAGAAGGGGGGGCGGGAATGATCAGAGCCCAAGGCTCTGCTGCGCCTCGAAGGTCATCATTGCTGCTGATGCTGCAGGGGAGGGATGTGGCGACCCTAGGCTATAGAATTTGTAGTTTTGGAAGAAGGAAAATTCTGAAATAGTATGCACTGGGAGAGGAGGTCACTGGAAGGACTGAAAGTAAAGGACTTCCTCATTCTCCTTATCCATCTACACCAGGCTGTAATCCCAGTCTAAATCAGTACAACTTGAGAGGTCTGCGGACAGAAGAAGGCAGGGCCGCCCAGCGCTGGCAGAGAACTGGTTCCGCAACCCAGGGGCCTTCCCATTGGCTGTCGTAGGTATCATTATAGTCAATCTGCAACATGTCCTTCCACCAGAAAATTAAATCCCTCAGGAAAGATCTACTCCCTTTCACCCTCCCCGTCCCCCGCCTAGCCTAGCTAGAGGGCACTACCAAAAGAAGGTCGAAGACGTACAGGACACCGAGAATAGGGAAGGAAGGATGGGAGACAGAGAAGGGGAGGGGAACGGGGGCGGGGACTGCGGATGGATCTACGGTGGTGCAGCGACAGTGGGATCACCTTGAGACTGCGGCGTTGGGAAGCGGCAGAAGAGCTTTCGCTTCGGCCGTGGACTCCTCGTGTTTACAGCTCTTTGGAAGGAAACGCCTGCGCCGCGAGGTGAGGCCCCTGTTGCAACCTCCTCTTTCACCTAGCATACACTCAGACCTGTTCAGGAGATGTATATTTTTGAGAGCCCTGAGAATGAAGGGAGGCTAGGCGACTCCCCTCGCTTTACATCCTCCCCACCCCACATTCCCCCCCCCACACTTTCTTTCCTGTGCACAATTTCATCTCATTCCATCTCAGCTCCTCTGATGCTTCCTTTCCCAGCCTGTTTCATCCTTTTCCAGCCCTTCTGTTGTATTTCTTCACCCCCAGAGTTCTTCGTCTCATCACTCTCTTCATCACCCACCACGTCTCTTCTGGCGTGTGAGTTCTCCCCTTTCTTGATTTTTCTCCTACTTCCTAGTATGTCTCTTCCTTAGCCCTTCTCTCCAGTTCCTTCAGTGTGTCTCATCTCCTTTTCCATCACCTTTCCCGCTCTTGTGGTGAGTGCTTTCCTCGTTCCCTCCGCCGTCTCATCCTCATACCGTCTCTCTTCGTGTTTGCTGTGCCCCTTCCCATCCCCCTCCCTGCTCTTGGCACATGCTCTTCCCCTCCCCCATTACTTCTCTTTTAGCTCTTTTGGTGCATGCTCTCCCCCTCCCCCTCCTAATTATCCTGGTGTAAGCTTTTACCCATCCCATCCCCCTCCCAGCTCTCTTGGTACGTGCTCTTCTCCCCAATTCCTTCCCCCTCCTAGCTCTCTGGGTGCATGCTTTCACCCCTCCCCCTCCTTTTATCCCCCCTCCTAGTTCTCCTGGTGTATATTCTTACCCATCTCATCTCTCTCCCAGCTCTCTTGATAGGTGCTCTTCCCCTCCCCCCATTTCTTCCCCCTCTTAGCTCTCCGGTTGCATGGTCTTCCCTTCCCCCATTTCTTCCCCCTCCTAGCTCTCTGGTTGCATGCTCTTCCCCTCCCCCCATTACTTTCCCCCTCTCATCTCTTTTGGTGCATGCTCTTCCCCCTCCCCCTCCTTTTCTCCCCCTCCCAACTCTCCTGGTATGTGCTCTTACCCATCTCATCCCCCTCCCAGCTCTCTTGGTACGTGCTCTTCCCCTCCCCCATTCCTATCTCCCTCCCAGCTCTCTTGGTACGTGCTCTTCCCCTCCCCATCTCTGCACTCCTGGTGCATACGCTCTTCTCCACCCCCCCACCCACTTCGATCCCGTCGCAGCTCTCCTAGTGCATATCTTTCCCCTCCTCCCTTTCATCCTCATCTTCCGGGAATGTTCTTTCTACTTTAGTTTTTAATTTGGTCCCCACCCTTGCCAATCTCATCGCTGGCTACTTGGTCCTTCAGAGGGAAGAGTCTCCCTAAAGCATGCAGACCTCAAGGCACTGGCAGACCTGGAGATGACAGACATAAGAGGCCAAATGGCCTGGTTAATTGAGGCCTCTGTGGTCCTAGAGTGAGAGCATCTCAGACTCTGCCTCAAGCTTTGAAGCCTGGCTCATCCAGACCCCCAACAAATGCTTTCTTCAGTGCTCCCCTTACATTCAGTCATGGCAAAGATCAGGCAGGACTTTTCCCTTTTCTCCCTCTTCTTGGGTTTTAACAGACACCAGACTATAAAGTAGTTTTGGGACCTTCTGAGTTTTCGATTCACCAGATGGAGGCTTTTCTTCTCCCCCTCCCCAACACTGCTGTGTGCTACTGTTATACCCATAGAAAGCATGGTGTCTAGCTGAAAGTTATAAATTTGGGATGGGAGGAGGTGAAAGGAGAGTTGCCCCTGATTATTTCGGGCAATGTAATAGGGTACAATTACATAATCCTTTCCAGTAGTGAAGGGAAGGTGTTTTCTTAGCATTTTTTTCTTTAAAAGTTTTCATAATTTCCTGTTTTCTCCAGTCCTTGATCTCTGTGGGGACAAAACACTGAGTGCAGTGTCTTGCCTCAGAATCTGAGGCTTAGTCTGGGCTGTATTTACCTGGTTTGAAATTCTCCCTTCCCTTTTTAGGTTAAGTGCCATGAGTAGAGGGAAAAGGGCAGCCATATGCTTTGGTCCTAGGTCTAGGACCTTCCCCTGGATTCAGACATTAGGGCTTTTACATGGTGCTTAAGTAAGAGTTGGATGAACCGTACTTCTCCATCTCCATCTGTCCCACATGCACGTAGCTTCTGGTAACTCGGTGACTTTGGACTGCTGACTGGCTGCCTTAGGAAAGTGTTACTCATATTTTATGCATCACTCTTCCGCCTCATGATTCAAAAGATTAACTTCTCATAGGTTTGGAAAGAGAGTATGAAACTTATGAGGGAAGGTTTTCACTTGTGTCCCAGACAAACCTATTTGCAGAGTTTCCCGCACATTCTCCTTACTTTCCTCTACTTCTTCTGGTATATTGAATACGTTCATTTAGTGCAGAGACTAACGAGCATCATTTGGGGGTGAGGGTAACAACAGCAGGGAAGGAAGAAAATGTATGTAGCTACTGGATGCCTACTTCTGCTGCCATAAAGTAACATAGTAGATTACAGGATTTAAATGCCATAATTTTGTATATTTTCCTTTGCACTAAAAACGGCAGATATGGGGTACTTGTGGTAATTCCTCATGGTCATTGATTTCCAGCGTAGTAGTAATTAATAAGCATTACTGTTTTCCTGAGTGTGTTACAAAAAGTTAAATCTAATGTTGCTCAGAATTGAAGCTTCCAAATAGTGTTTTTTGCTAACTGAAGAAGAGTTCAAGAAAGTCTGTTTTATCTTGCTCTGATTTAGGACAAAAATTCAAGTTTGAACTCACTTTCCTGGAGATTATAAGCTCCTTAAGGGCACAGACTGCTTACTTCTTATCTTTAGATCTCTTTATCCTGGCACAGAAGTGTTTAATAAATGCTTGTTGAATCTAAGTTTATGTGAAATAAAGGCATTTTGGTGTTTTCTCAATTAACTAATATCTTGGAAACCCTAGGGGACCTCAGAAGAAAAGACTAATCTCCCGAGGTGTGCATTGTTTACAAGACAGCTAATAATATTGGAAAATATCTATGCAAATTCCATTGGGACACAAACTTCTTCGTGTATTGGCATCTGTTGGGTTTGGGCAGAATATAAATCAGGAAGGATTTGTTCTCTTTTTAAGATTACATTGTCATAATTACAGCTTCACTTAGACTGGCAAAAGTTTATTTTACTACTCTCCATGCTCCCCTCATTTACCAATTCTGTGTGTATTTTTTCTATGGTATGGCAAATTATTATTTTATCATTTTGTGTGTCTTTTTCTATGTACAATAGAATGTGAACCCCTTGAGGGCCAGAGCAGTCTTCTTTGTGAAGGCATCCCATTACATATGCTAGGCTACTAAATAAATATTTGTTTTAATTGATTTCATATTAGTCTGATTGTAAGATAAGTAGGTCTTAGATTTGCCTGCTTCCATAATATGTAATACAGCTTCTGCTAGCAGATAAAATGAGTTAATTGTTTGCCCCCTACAGCTAAAATGAAAGTAATGGAGTCCAGGAACCTTCTGGTGTGTAAGGGTGTATCTGTTCCCTAGGGCACAGAAGAGGGCGGGTCTGATAACTCCCTGCTGCACTGTTGGTTGCAAAGGTTTTGTTCTCTATATCACAATCACAAGAGGTGATGAAATAAAGAAAGTTACTTCAGAGGAAAGGGATGATTTTAAAATTGTCACTACCAATTTGAGCGAGAGTAATGTTTATTCAGGATGGCTTATCCATTCAAGATAACAGCTTATGAGAAAGCATTCTTTTTTGTGGGGTAAGTGAGGAAATTTGCACATTTAAAAGCTCCCCTCTATTTCTCTTTCAGAGTCAAAATGAATTATGTTCATCTCCCCAAATAACTTCTTGAAGCAAAATTGTCATCCTGACTAAATTCAACCTCTGTTCTAGGTTTCAAATTTCTTGTCATGTAGTGAAGTCAGTAATAAGACAGCAGAGCATTTCCCTCCTGCTAATTAAAATAGAATGGAGGGTAGTTATTAATAGCTCATTTTCATGTAAGACTTTAGGGTTTTCACAGAGCTTTTCCTACCATGTGAGATATTTTACGAATGGGGAAACTGAGACTTAGGTGGTGACCTTATTTCTACTAAGTAAAGTATCTAGGTTTCATCCTCACTATTTTTTCACGAATTTGAAATCGAGAAATGATTATATGAAACCTCATACAGGGGCTTTTTACATCCAATAATTCAACTTGAAAAGAGGAGATGGAATTATAGCGTTTAATTGCCTAAATTATGGTATTTAGATCATCAATATAGGGATGCTCTCCTAATACTTTTGGCTCATACTTCTCCAATTTGGTTATTGCATTAAAGTGAAATACTTTAGTTGATAAAGGAGAAGTTTATTATAACTGTTAAAACATTGTCTGGTAAAGTGAATAATATGACTTAAAAAGTTTTAAGATGTGAATTCATACATATTTAGTAGTTTGAATTGTTTGCCTTCACTCCTCAAGTATTCATAGCATTGACCAGGGTCCTTGGAGAGAGCCTTTAACTACATTAATTTCTTAACAAGAAAATGAGGAAGCAGATAAGCCTAGATCAGTGGGGGGGAAATGCTTATGCAAAGTTTGACTTGCAATGCCCTGCTTCAATTTTAATTTTACTTTAATCTCTCCTAAAAGAAAATCAGGGTATATTTGACTTAATTCAGGAGAGTTAGATAAACATAGAAAGAGAAAATGCATCTTTTCAAATTTTTCTTTAGCTTTCTTGAACTCTTCAAATCTATTTAGGATATGGGGAGAGAATATTTCAGTCTTTGAATGTTTTTATAAAAGGCACCAAGTCAGTCTTTCATAAATGATTTTGCAAGGTTCACCAGATCAACAATATAGAGCATTGCATACAGAGATCTTGAAGGTGTAAGGGACTAGATAGAATCTAGAATCTTTTTTAAGGTTATACATATCTGTTACCAAAAAAATCTGGTATCTTATTTTCTCATGACTTTTGTGTTTTTACCTTTTCGGATGGCCTTATCACAGGGAAATTCCAGTTCATTGAGAGTTCTGAGTGACTGAAT